CTTCATACCGAACACCACTTATTGAGCCAGTAAATAAGAGTGATATTTAATGACCAGAAGAGAAAGATAAGAATACTTTTTTCAGAACATCTTAGCTCAGCTGATGAGGAGAAAGACGCTGTGAGTTCGTAAACTTACCTCACAGTGTTCAAAGAAGTGCCGGATAGACTAGTGGTTGGCTTCTGGCCTTCTGAATAACTACCCGACCAATAACTGGACACTCGTTTTGTCAAAAACTAGTGACTAAATGAACTTTATAACCTTTTCTATTGGGCAGTATTGACCAACAAAATGTATGGACTACATTTTATGACTATGGTTTCCATGGTAATGGCACACAAGCCTTAAGTAGTTTGTTAACAGTTGTTAGTGTAATATCAAACAAAACTTGCTACATCGGTTAAGCCTAGTTGTAAAAGTTTTTGCCTACAGCTAATACTGTGTAATTGTTTTTATTGTAAAATAATTCTTGGTTAATTTCTGTTAGTAATAAAAATGCGTTAGAACGTAAGTCTATCAACACATGTAAATAATATATGTAGATATTTACTGAGTTCAGAGCCAATAGTCTTCTTTTAGATAAAACAGAGAATCCTATAACCAAAGAAAAAACACTCGGTTATCAGATTTCATGTTCTGTGATTGATCGTTTTTTTTTTTACACTTCATGATGTTTTAGTATTATGTGCATTGATATTTTACCTCCAGTGGCTCAGCTGTAAGTCTGTACACTTACGACGCTAGAATTAGGGTTTTGATACCAGTGATGAGCAGAACAAAAATAGCCCTTTGTGTAGATTTGCGCCTAACAACAACCCAACCATTGTTCTTTTAAATGTATTAGTAGTTTCCCTGGTGTCAGTTTCGTGCAAATAATCCCGATTTTATAAGGAACTACTTCTGAATCTGTTTATTTGTTTTTGTTGTACAAGAGAATAAAACTCAAATATTACATTTCTCCTTTCAAATATATTATTTTTTAAGAACAAAATTCTCGAAAGAAAACAGTTAAAGTTACCCCTACGTTGTACAGCTGATTGGTAAAATTAGTGCTTTAACAGCTAATGATTCGAGCTGCCTGCCTTAATGGTTTGTTTTCAAGGCTCCAGGGGGAGCTGCACCAACCGTTTAATTTCGTTATGGACGTTAAATTCGTTGCTATCCATTTAATTCCACAATCACAAACGATAAAATTTCCTGAAACACAAAAAAAAGTCAGTCACAACAAATAAATTATAAGTGATTAAACTTTCATTTAAAATTTAGAAAAAGGTAAAGTTTAAGATATATATTTTATTCTGTTATTAACACTTTTTTTGTAATCATTTAGCGATGAAATCAAGTGAAAAAAGCATACAAACATGAAAGACAACGGTTCACAACAAGTACAGGTAAGTAATATTCAAAATTGTAAACGGTGAAATAGAAGTAAGATGAAAAGTAAATCAGCGGTAGAAATGGAAATTCAGACATCTAAAAATCACAAATTAAAACGATGTAGTAAATGATATTATTAATGGATTTTCTTTACTGAGATACAAAAGAGCTTTGATGTAAATACCTACTGGCAAAATTGACACTATTATTTATGATAATTTATGTTTTTACAAACACTTTAGAAATTACTAGGGTTACAGGGAAAAGGAGTTCTTATGGTTTTAAATGGTTTTCATGTATTTAAAGACTAATAAAATAACAGTTGCTCGTGCCGTTAAAGTTCTTTTTGGTGTTGAATTAAATATAATGGAACGTTTTCAATAATAATTGAGTTGAAAGATAATAATTGTTACATAATGTCCTTGGTGGCTTAATGGTAAATCTGGGGCTTATAACTTTAAAAATTGGATTTGGACACCCGCGGTGGGCAGAGCACAAATAACCTGCAGCTTTGTGCTTTATAAGAAACAAACAAACAAAAAAGTTAATATCATAAAATGCTTTCTTAAAAGCAAAAACACAGCACTTACAAGTCATTATTGTCTCCGACACCAGTGATTTCCATAACACCAAGACCAAAATATATAAAAATCATTATTAATACTGAGAATAAAACACTAATAACATCAATCATTTCTATAAAACCGAATGCGTAACACATGCCAATTTCACCAGTTTCTATACAACACAACACCCATCAGTCACATCAACCAATACAAAATACAACACCCAGTTACATCAACCAACACAAAACACAGCATTCACTGACACGTCAATCAACACAGTACACAACACTCATCGGTCACATCAACCAACACAAAACACAACCTTCACTGGTCACGTCAATCAACACGGAACACAACACTCGTCAGTCACATCAACCAACACAAAACACAACATTCACTGGACACGTTAATCAACACAGTACACAACACTCGTTGGTTACATCAGCCAACACAAACCACAACACTCATTGGTCACGTCTATCATCACGGAACACAACATTCACTGGTCACATCAATCACCACAGAACTCAACACTTACCAGCTACATCTATCGTCTCGATAACGTTCAGAGCATTGTTCCAGGTGTTATAAGGTAAAGACTGGAAGAAATTGTTAGCAAGAACCACTTCACGTAGTTTCATCATGAACAAGAACATGTCTTTGGGTAACACTGATATTCTGTTATAGCTGCAAGGTTTATAACAAACGAGGTTAATACTACATTTTGACTTTCAGCCTTATTGTTTAATGTAATGTGTAATATAATGTTTGGTTTTGCTTTTACAATACCAATATTACGGAGTTCAGAGAGAAAGAAGGGAGGCTCAGTTTGTTCTTCTTCGATTCTCCACTTACAACTGAGTTGGACCAGCTTTCCTGAAATAGTGTTGCCCTATTTTGTATTTTTATACTGAATAATCCATTCTGAATAAAGTAATAGCATTAATAACTGTTGTGAAAAGGGGGTGTAGTGCTACTGGATCACTGCTCCTTGCACCTGAAATTTGAGCTGAGTCCAGACATTTCCAAAACTAAAAATATTTATGTAAAGAACAAGAGAACACTCCGACACAAAACAGTGGTAGAGCTCTCTCAGATTGTCAAAGAACATTCTGGCTGTCTGTGGCCCCTGTGTCCAGTTGTAGAGCTCTCTCTCAGAGTGTCAAAGAACATTCTGGCTGTCTGTGACCCCCGTGTCCAGTTGTAGAGCTCTCTCTCAGAGTGTCAAAGAACATTCTGGCTGTTTGTGACCCCGTGTCCAGTGGTAGAGCTCTCTCTCAGAGTGTCAAAGAACATTCTAGCTGTTTGTGACCCCGTATTCAGTGGTAGAGGTCTCTCAGAGTGTCAAAGAACATTCTGGCTGCCTGTGATCTCCGTAACCAGTGTTAGAGCTCTCTCAGAGTGTCAAAGAACATTCTGTCTGATTGTAATCCCGTATCCAGTGGTGGAGCTCTCTCAGACCGAGCAACACCCACACTGTCATTCTCCCTCAGAAACTGATATCAGACACCATACGACTACTTCGATTCAAGAGCGTTAAAACAGAGAAATGTTTCTTGTCACATGTCACATAGTTATTAAGACACACGAGTATGGTATTAGAACGCTTAATTAAATACATTTTACAATTATACAGTGTGTTTAGAACATAGACATTTTTAAAAACTTCATTATTTAGATAATATATGATGAAGGCCGCTTTTTAGTCATTCATGTTGGTAGCTAAATAAAAGTTGTAACACTATCTGTAGACTGTTGTTGCTAAGCCTGTCTTAAAGTATAAGCTTAACATTTTCAAAGCACATCTAACACTATAGCATACCTACATAAAGTATTTTACAGATGTGCTTAAGAAAGTTAGATATAACAAGTTATACATTTCTGAGCTAAGAACTTTATAACAAACATGTACAATAAATTTGCAAGATGTACAAATTCACTCTGAATGATGAATAATACTAATATGTGTTAAATGTTAGCTGTAAAATTCTAGGAATTTGTGAATGAAAGTAAAGAAGAATGTATAACAGCATGTCAACCACACTATATTTACTATACCAGGGTTTATCAGGCCCCCTGGGATACGACAGGAACGGTAGTGATTGAGATGCTATTTATATTAACAAATTTCTTGAACAACAACTGTTATGGTGTGAAGTATATTAAGTAAATAATTACCTCAAGTTCAGAATTTCCAAGTTTCCGTCTGGAATAGTGAATATATCTCTACTTATATTCTTCAATTGATTGTAAGACAGGTCCAGTACAGTCAGGGAAGGAAATATGGCAAAAGATTTGGTATTTATCAGTGAGATATTGTTATGACATAACACCAAGTTTTTTAGGTTGATCAGATCAGAAGGAAAAGATGTGTTTGTGATTTCTTCAAATTTATTAAATGATAGATCTAGCTTTTCTAAGCTCTTAAGGTGTTTCAGGTTCTGTGTTTCGAAACCAAGTTTTACGTTGACGTAGATGTAGTTGTAGTTGTCAATCTGAACTCTTTCTTGTCTTGTGGGACAATCAACACATATCTTACCCCTAAGGAAGCAGTTAGATATAACAAGTTTGTTGAGATAAAACTCTTGTCCATCAAGAGGATTGTCACAAAAAGAGCAGTTTGACAGAGTAGTGTTTCGAATCTCCAACTCTCGGACTCGAGACTGTTTCAGCCAGTAAGGAGGAAGTTTTAACTTTCCATCATCATTTTTATCTTTCACTTTACTGCTTCTTTGAACATTAGAAATGACCACCCTGTCCAGTAGCAGTTGCCCTCTAAGGCCATCAACCCTTTCTAGACTGTTGTTACACCCCGGTCTGTTACAGATAACAGTAGTAAAAGAGCTCTGAGAAAAAGTTGGAGTATTGATACAGAACCAAGGGTTGATATCTTGTGCAGGAGGACATGGAGATCCAGCCTCTCCCAATTGTAGGATGGAGAGCATCAAAAAAATGAAGGTTATCATTTTATAAACCTAATGAAAGCCAAATATTTGTGTAAGCTCAAACACAAACCACATAATCACAATTACAATCTTCTAAGTTAAAACCATTCTGTATACTAATATTTTAGTAAAAACAACATTCTGTATACTAATATTTTAGTAAAAACAACATTCTGGATACTAGGGTTTTAGTTAAAACAACAATCTGAATACTAATATTTTAGTAAAAGCAACATTCTGTATACTAAGGTTTTAGTTAAAACATCATTCTGTACACTGAGGTTTTAGTTAAAACAACATTCTGTATACTAAGGTTTTAGTTAAAACAACATTCTGTATACTAAGGTTTTAGTTAAAACATCATTTTGTACACTGAGGTTTTAGTTAAAAACAACATTCTGTACACTGAGGTTTTAGTTAAAAACATCATTCTGTATACTGAGGTTTTAGTTAAAAACAACATTCTGTATACTGAGGTTTTAGTTAAAAACATCATTCTGTATACTGAGGTTTTAGTTAAAAACAACATTCTGTATACTAAGGTTTTAGTTAAAACAACATTCTGTATACTAATATTTTAGTTAAAACAACATTCTGTATACTAATATTTTAGTAAAAACAACATTCTGTATATTAAGGTTTTAGTAAAAACAACATTTTACTAAAATATTAGTATACAGAACAACATTCTGTATACTAAGGTTTTAGTTAAAACAACATTCTGTATACTAATATTTTAGTAAAAGCAACATTCTGTATACTAAGGTTTTAGTTAAAACAACATTCTGTATACTAAGGTTTTAGTAAAATAAAAACAACATTCTGTATACTAATATTTTAGTAAAAGCAACATTCTGTATACTAAAGTTTTAGTAAAAACAACAATCTGTATACTAAGGTTTTAGTAAAAACAACATTCTGTATACTAAGGTTAAAAAAACAACATTCTGTATACTAAGGTTTTAGTTAAAACAACAATCTGTATACTAAGGTTTTAGTAAAAACAACATACTGTATACTAAGGTTTTAGTAAAACAACATTCTGTATACTAAGGTTTTAGTAAAAACAACATTCTGTATACTAATATTTTAGTTAAAACATCATTCTGTATACTAAGGTTTTAGTAAAACAACATTCTGTATATTAAGGTTTTAGTAAAAACAACATTCTGTATACTAATATTTTAGTTAAAACATCATTCTGTATACTAAGGTTTTAGTAAAAACAACATTCTGTATACTAATATTTTAGTAAAAACAACATTCTGTATACTAAGGTTTTAGTTAAAACAACATTCTGTATACTAAAGTTTTAGTAAAACAACATTCTGTATACTAAGGTTAAAAAAAACAACATTCTGTATACTAAGATTTTAGTAAAACAACATTCTGTATACTAAGGTTTTAGTTAAAACAACATTCTGTATACTAAGGTTTTAGTAAAACAACATTCTGTACACTGAGGTTTTAGTAAAAACAACATTCTGTATACTAATATTTTAGTAAAAGCAACATTCTGTATACTAAAGTTTTAGTAAAACCAGCATTCTGTATACTAATATTTTAGTTAAAACAACATTCTGTATACTAATATTTTAGTAAAAACAACATTCTGTATACTAAGGTTTTAGTAAAACAACATTCTGTATACTAATATTTAAGTAAAACAACATTCTGTATACTAATATTTTAGTTAAAACAACATTCTGTATACTAAGGTTTTAGTTAAAACAACATTCTGTATACTAAGGTTTTAGTTAAAACAACATTCTGTATACTAATATTTTAGTAAAACAACATTCTGTACACTGAGGTTTTAGTAAAAACAACATTCTGTACACTGAGGTTTTAGTAAAAACAACATTCTGTATACTAAGGTTTTAGTTAAAACAACATTCTGTATACTAAGGTTTTAGTTAAAACAACATTCTGTATACTA